GGCAGAGTACTTTCACTTGTAAGTGAGTAGGTGTTTTGTCATTTTGGTGTCAAAAGCTTTCAAGTGTTCAACATTTGAATCTTGTTGCAGGCAAAACCTGAAGTGGGGAGGTTGATAATTGCTACCATTGCTCTCCTGATTGCTTCCACCTCAACTATATTGATTGTATGCATTTTTTTTAGTGTTCTTATGTATCTCTTCCCTAGTGCTGAACTTAGTTATGATTTTACTACTCTATAATACTCTTTGAAATGCTGATCCTGCAGCCGAAATTCGGTGGAAAGATTATAGACATTGTAACTGGAGATATCGACACACCCGAACAGAAAAGCAAAGCTTTAAAGGAAGTCACAAACACCATTGTATACATCACATCAATCGTCTTAGTCGGGTACGATAATTTAGACGCGCATAATATATTGTAACAATCTTACCCCACCGCTACTAGATATTGTTTGCTTTTCTTCTTGGATTTTCCCTAAAGGTTTTAAAATGTGTATGCTTGGAGAGGTTTCCACATCCTTAAAAGGAATGCTTCGTTTCTCTCTCCAACCAACGTGGGATCTCACAATCCACCTCCCTTGGTGGTCCAGCGTCCTCGTTGACACACCGCTCGGTGTCTGACTCTATTACCATTTATAACACCCCTAACTCACTGCTATCAGATACTTGGACTGGAGTCCAGCGTCCTTGCTGGCACACTCCTAACTCACTGCTAGTAGATATTGTTCTCTTTAAGTTTTTTCTTCTGAGTTTTCCTTCCAGGTTTTAAAACGCATCTGTTAGGGAGAGGTTTCCACACCTCTAGGAATATTTTGTTCTCCTCTCTAACCAATGTAGGATCTCACAATCCACTCCCCTTGGAGGTCTGGGGGTCCAGGGGTCCAGCGTCCTCACTGGCACACCGCTCGGTGTCTGGCTCTGATACCATTTCTTATAGCCCTAGCCCACCGCTAGCAGAGATTTTTCTCTTTGGATTTTCCCTTCTAGACTTTCCCTCAAGGTTTTAGAACACGACTGCTAGAAAAAGGTTTTCATACCCTTATATGGAATGCTTCATTCCCCTTTCTTAATGTGGGATCTCACAATCTACCCCCTTGAGGTCCGGGGGGTCCAACGTCCTTGTTGGCTCACTATCCAATGTCTGGCTCTGATATTATTTGTAACAGCCCTAGCCCACCACTAGTAGATATTGTCCTCTATGGAGGTTTTGAAATGCGTCTGCTAAGGAGAGGTTTCCACATCCTTTCTCCCCCCTAGTAGGTGTGTGATCTGCCATTAGACGTCTATTTTAAACGTATATCTGGGCAATTCAAATTATATTAGGTCCAGTATGATGTCATCTGCAAAATTTATGTCACTCACACATGAAAAATATGATTTCAGTTCGGTTTGCTCAGCTGTTCGAGCTTGGTTATTTTATTCTGCTAGTGAAAGCGTTGTTGCTCGTTTAAGGAAGAATTTATTCACTCATCTTCTTAATCAGGTACCTCCCAATGAAAAAACTGGAACAAAAAGCTAAAACTTTTAACTTATAATCATTATTTTTAGCACTTGGTTAATGAATTTTGTAGGAAATAGCCTTCTTTGACGTTACCCGAACAGGGGAGCTTCTTAGTAGGCTATCTGAGGATACCCAAATCATTAAGAATGCAGCAACTACCAATCTTTCCGAGGCTCTAAGAAGCCTATCAACTGCATTAATTGGGTTGACCTTCATGTTTTCAACTTCTTGGAAGTTAACATGTAAGAATTTGAACATTTAGGCGGTTAAAACACATTTTTTAAGGTTCCAATATGCTCATTATTTTGTCTGCTCTATCATTTCTAGTATTGGCTTTGGTTGTTGTCCCTGTTGTTTCTGTTGCTGTTCGTGAATTTGGTCGCTATCTTCGTGAACTGTCTCACAAGACTCAAGCAGCAGCAGCTGTCTGTGCTTCAATAGCTGAGGTATAAATTCACTGTCAGATTTTAAATTTACATTGTCATACTTAGATATACACATTATTAGTAAAACATAGTCATTGTTTTGGTTTTGTAGGAATGTTTTGGTGCTGTGCGCACTGTCAGATCTTTCGCTCAAGAATCCTATGAGATATCACGGTACTCTCAGAAAGTAGAGGAGACATTGCAACTTGGACTTAAACAAGCTGTGAGTTTAATGTGTGTGCATCTATCTTTCTGCAGTCTCATAGCTCTTACTCCCAATCTTATCATGTAATAGAAAGTGATTGGATTATTCTCTGGAGGTCTCTTTGCAACGACGACCTTATCTGTTATTATCGTCGTGATATATGGAGCTAATTTGGCAATCAAAGGGGTCATGAGTCCAGGAGCTCTGGCATCTTTCATCCTCTATAGTTTAACTGGTAAAATTTCTTTGTTTAATGGAGCTTCACTTTTCCATATGGCACAATAAAACTTATTGTAATCGACTCTCCGTTCCTAGTTGGAACCTCCGTATATGGGTTGTCAGGATTGTACACTGTTGTCATGAAAGCTGCTGGAGCTAGTAGACGAGTTTTTCAGCTCCTTGATCGTGTATCAACAATGGCAAATTCAGGAAATAAGCTCCCTATTGGGTAATAACTCAATCAGCTTAGTTTATAAAGCTTTGGTGTTGATTGTGTTCTTGTTCTTAAGGTATAAAAGCAAAGGGTAAGTTGTGATGCTTGCTGTCTTTGTTCTTGCTTCTATAGTTCTTTTGAAGATGTGAAGAAATGGAATGATGAAATCAGTAGGGAGTTGTCAGAGTTGGTTCTTTCATCTTGCTTCATCTTATTAGTTATTGAGATGAACAGGAGAAGAACTGTTAGTTTTGATTTTCAAAAGGAACTGAATGATAACACGCAGTGATTTAATGCAGTGATCAAGATGCAGAGGTCGAGTTGGACGATGTCTGGTTTGCATATCCGTCCCGCCCGAATCACACGGTGCTGAAGGTATTGCTATCTTAAATTCTAGTTATGTGGGAACAGGTTATGCAGTGTTATTGAGTTATAGAAACTTCCATCATACAGGGAATAACACTGAGATTGCAGCCTGGCACAAAAGTTGCTCTAGTTGGTCCGAGTGGTGGTGGAAAAGTAATTACTTTCTTTTTCTTTTGCTTTTGCTTAATGCTTATGTGAGATCCCACATCGGTTGGAGAGGGGAACGAAGCATTCCTTAAAGGGGTGGAAACCTCTTCCTAGTAGACGCATTTTAAAACCGCGAGGCTAACGGTGATATGTAATGGGCCAAAGCGGGCAATATCTGCTAGCGGTGGGCTTGGGCTATTACAAATGGTATCAGAGCCAGACACCAACAGTGTGCCAGTGAGGATGTTGGACCCCCAAGAGGGGTGGATTGTGAGATCCCACATCGGTTGGAGAGGGGAACAAAACATTCCTTATAAGGGAGTGGAAACCTCTCCCTAATAGACTTGTTTTAAAACTGTGAGGCTGATGACGATACGTAACAGGCCAAAGCAGACAATATCTGCTAGCGGTGGGTTTAGACTGTTACAATTGGTATCAGAGCCACACAGGGGTAGTGTGTCACTGAGGATGCTAGATCCCCAAAGGGGGTGGATTTTGAGATCCACATCGGTTGGAGTGGGGAATGAAACATTTCTTATAAGGGTGTGGAAACCTCTCCCTAATAGACACGTTTTAAAACCGTGAGGTTGACGACGATATGTAACGAGCCAAAGTAGGCAATATTTGCTAGCAGTGGCCTTGGGCTTGGGCTGCTGCAGCTTATTTCTTCTTTTCTGAGTGAGTTATTATGCGTTAAAGGTCTGCTAACATAGTGCATGTTTCCTTGTTTGCCACAGACCACCATAGCAAACCTGATTGAAAGGTTTTACGATCCCATTAAAGGACGGATTCTGATAAACGGCGTTCCTCTGGTTGAGATATCACATGAACATTTACACAAAAGGGCAAGAAGTTTACTTTTCTAACTTGATTGAAAGTTCAAGTTCACGTTACAGATCTATCTATATGATCGTTTTTTCGAACTTTTGACGGTCGGCTTGTCGGTTGCAGATCAGTATAGTGAGCCAGGAGCCTGTTCTTTTCAACTGCTCCATAGAGGAGAACATAGCCTATGGTTTAGATGGCAAAGTTGAAAGCATTGATGTAGAAAATGCAGCTGTAAGATCTCATGTCCTTTTGCCTCTTGCAAACCTTTAAGGCCGAACCAACCTGTTGTTTTACTTAAACTAATGACATGACAGAAAATGGCCAATGCACATGACTTCATATCGAACTTCCCTGAAAAGTACAAAACTCACGTCGGAGAACGTGGGGTAAGGCTGTCGGGCGGTCAAAAGCAAAGAGTAGCTATAGCAAGAGCTCTACTGATGAACCCAAGAATTCTCCTGTTGGATGAAGCCACAAGTGCTCTAGATGCTGAAAGTGAACACCTAGTACAGGTCTGCTGCGAAAACTTCTTGTTGCACACTTATCATTGTGAATTCTGATCCATGGACACATTTTCAGGACGCAATGGATTCTTTGATGAGAGGCAGGACGGTGCTAGTCATTGCTCACAGGCTATCAACTGTGAAGACCGCAGACACTGTGGCTGTTGTTTGTGATGGTGAAATTGTTGAAAGCGGAAGGCATGAAGAGCTTCTTAGCAGGGATGGTGTCTACACTGCACTAGTCAAGAGACAACTGCAAGATACAAGAACAACATAATGAAAAAGACCCTTTTCTTCCTTTCCTACCACTATACACAGAAATAGTCCGATTTCCTTTATAAAAAAGATACTTCTTCAAATTCTATGTATAATAGATAATTTTCTCCGTAACGATTTTAAAAAGTTATAGACATATTGACGTAAAATTGAAAGTTTTTATCTATTAAACGAACATTGGAAACTACTCGTACTCTTTATTAATAATAAGACCATCTATCACAAGATACTCGGTAGAAGATGAAAAATTGAGGGATATTTATAAAAGGGTCTATCTAAATTTTGTTTTTGGTAAAATATTTAAGTACGATTGCTAGCTTAGAGAATAGAGATCGCGGGTAGCCCAGCACTCCCAAGTATAAACCTGTTTTCCAAACTCCCAGCCAGAGCTCTCTGAAGACCATAATCAAGGAAAACATGAACAAAATCTTTTCTCGCAAACTTGCATCAAGGCTTTCGAATTCCTATGGGAATTCTCACTATTGCAGGGATTGCGCTTCTTTTGCCACACAAGTGCGAACCGGTAACCAAAACTACTTCTATGGCTCCTTCATCACTCGCCCGGTTAAGGATCACTCGCGTTCATGGAGTTCACATCGAAGTTTTACCGAGAAAATTCATGGGTTTTTCTCAGGCCCGGTGGTCGGAAAGCGATTCATATTGAATCCTTCAAACACCCTTTTCAAGGGGTCCATTAAGAGTCTAGTAGGAAGGTCTCTCTTTATGGGAAGCCCATTTTCGAAACTGAAATTTCAGTTGAAACCAGGTTTTGATCATCGATGGTCAGGCAGGTAATGCGTCTGCTCTGTTAGTAACTTCTTTTAATCGCTGAAGAATGTGAAGTCCTTTCATATACAAATGAATTCGTCGCTGAAGAATGTGAAGTCCTTGTTCTTCATTCAGAGCTGAATATCCTAGTTTCCATAATTTCATTTTCGACGGTGAATTCGAATTTTCCCAATTGCATTGTCCTGTTAAAGTTTGCAAACCATTATGCACTACAATATATTAAATGATTGCATGAGCAATTGGGAAATCTGATTAGTTCAAGAACAATTGTTATGCTGATTACTACTTGTTGGCACGAGGAAGGTGGGGAACTTCCAACTTCGTCAAATAAGTTCAAGCACTCCAATTTTTAGATGCCCCCCGTAGCATAGAGACTCTAACCTAGATTAGTGCTTGCTGTTTTGAAACTTCCTTCTTTGTTATTTTAGAATTAGCATTGTTCTTATCATGGGTTACTTAAGTTATTGTATAACATATCAAAATAACTTATTAGCCTTCTACATTTGAATAGGCTTGGTGGGTCTTTTAGTATTGAATACAATAAAACAGGTTATAATCATTTGAACAAAGGGGAGGATACTTCCTGATGAACATTGTTGATTATTTGGGGAAGTCCTTATTTTTGTTTTCTTATTCACAGGAGGGCATGGTTTCAAAGGCTGACGACTAATGATGTAGTGTTGGGGTTGATTATAGCTAATGTTGCTGTTTTCCTCCTCTGGCGGATTGCTGATCCTATCTTTATGTCAAAAAACTTTACTGTGAGTCCTTGATTGCAATTACATGCCTCAGAATTGTAGGCACCAATAGAATTATTTCTTCTCACCGATTTTGGTTAGGATCCATTTCTCTTGAATTGAGAGACTATTGATGTTCCATGGGAGCTCTTATGGGGCCATTCTTGAGGGAATCAACTATGTCCAGAAATCTAGATTATGAGTAATTGCATGTCTAGGAATCAAGATTAATCGTGTTTGTTTGGCATGATATATTCGTGAAAATTTTGTAATTATGGCTGAAAATATTATTACCTATGTTGCCAATCCAAGGGCACCAATTACCATCCAAAAAGTGGATGGTTCAATCTCCCACCCTGCAATTATCGAACAGGAAAAAAATTAGATAACTATGTCTGTTTTGCTAGAATTGTCTATATAAGCGTAATAAAATATCAATTTGTTCTACTGATGCCTCTATAATTTGAAACTAGAGGATTTGGATTAATGATAGGATATCCATCTTTAAAACCCATTTCATCTCACTCATATCCAAATCACCCCTCCATCGGCATCTCAAACACCAAAGATACTTAGTAAACCACATTCCTCGGAAGAGAAACATGGGATTCGACATATCCACCACATGGACGTTTAGAACTTCTCAAGATGAATGGCCCCTGAAAGTTGTTGTGAGATCCCACATCGGTTGGAGAGGGGAACGAAACATTCTTTATAAGAGTGTGGAAACCTCTTCTTAGCAGATGCGTTTTAAAACCTTGAGGGGAAGCTTGGAAGGAAACGCCCAAAGAGGATAATATTTCTAGCGGTGAGCTTAGGCTGTTACAAATGGTATTAGAGCTAGACACCGAGCGGTGTGCTAGCAAGGACGCTGAGCCCAGAAGGGGGTGGATTATGAGATCCCACATCAATTGGAGAGAGGAACGAGTGTTAGCGAAGACGCTGGGTCTTGAAGGGAGGTGGATTGTGAGATCCCACATTGGTTGGAGAGGGGAACGAAACATTGTTTATGAGGGTGTGGAAACTTCTCCCTAACATATATATATATATTGTTTTTATTTATTTAATTATATATATATATATTGTCAAATTGATTAACATGGTTTGAGAAATATTTGTGGCAATGTTACAACATTAGATGCCGTTTTGGAAGTTTTTTAATTTTAAAGCTTGGAACTTCAATTCAACTGTTCTCTGTTGGCAACATTATATTTTCAATATTTCAATTTTCTGTACACAGATCTCTGTAGAAAATGTTAGAAGCGGACGCATACATACATTGATTACATCAGCCTTCAGTCACGTAGAAATTGGCCATATAGTATCCAACATGATTGGACTATACTTCTTTGGGATGAACGTATGGCTATCTTTCTTCGAACTTCTACTAGGTCCTGATTTTATTTGTTTTATTTTCTCTGTTTATATGGGGGTGGCTTGTATAACTTTTTATTTTGTTATGATCTTTACCGCTTTCCTCGTTTTGGCTTAGAATTATGCCTTGTGAATAAAAAGAATTTTGAAGATACATAAATATTGATGAATGAACGTTATTGTGCCTTGTATGCTAATGTTAGAGTTGATATTGGATTTGGAGTAATATATTTCGATTCAAGTTGTTGTCGGGTGAGCTTCGTATGACTTTTGGATATAATGTGTTCAACTTCAGTAGAAGTATTTTTCAAAATTTCCACATAGTGTGGTTAAATAGACAAAAGTAATTTAAAAAGTTCTAAAAGTGCTCACCTAAGAATTGCGCATCCCATACTGTTAGTCTACTTATGAACTATAACCCAGTTCTGTTTGTCTCAAGAGTTTGTATGCTGCTTCTAAAGTTGGCTTTAATGTTTTGAATTCGTCTTTCCCGTTAGTGTTAAAACTGACCTTTGTCATCCTTGTTAGCATTGATAGACCTTATATATTTTGCCTTTAACAGATCGGTCGAGTGTTTGGTCCTGAGTTTTTGTTGGGATTGTATCTGGCTGGAGCAATTGGTGGGTCAGCATTTTACTTGGCACATCATCTGTTTCAAGCATCATCCTCAGAGGTATGCAAATTTTGTCCCAAAAATTGTGTATGGGCTCAGTTCTTTCATTTCAAATTTCTAGGACGCTTATAACATTGTTGGCTGGTTTTCTGCTTTCTACAGAGCCGGCCATTTTGGGGCAAGGATCCCGCACGAGCACAAGGATTGGTATGCTCTTGGAAATCCTTCTGGTTCTTTACTATTACTTTTTCAACTATAGAAGCCCTTCTTATTCTCTGTGTTTAACCTTACATTGTACTGATCACATTCAACGTCCGAACGTCAAGATACTTATTAGAACTTGAATATGATTGGTAGTCGTTTTGAATGATCACTTAGGGTGCAAGCGGAGCTGTAAATGCTATCATGCTGCTTGATATATTCCTCTTCCCAAAGTCGACCCTCTATCTCGAATTCTTTATACCTGTTCCTGCCATCTTACTGGTAAGCTGAACTCTAACTAGCACAAAGATTCACAGTCCACTATGAAAAATCCTGAAAGAGTTCTTGTGGTTTCATTACAGGGCATTTTTCTCATTGGAAAAGACATGTTGAGGATACTAGAGGTATGATGCTTAATTGAGAATACCTAAACTTCTCCATCCGCCTCCACCCTCCGTTCTTTTCTCTGTTGCATATGGCTGAACTCCTACTGTTAAAATCTGTATGGTCTCTGCAGAATGACAGCCAAATTTCAGGATCTGCACACCTCGGGGGTGCTGCAGTTGCAGCCTTAGCCTGGGCCCGAGTTCGCCGGGGTCGTTTCTGAATATCAAAAGAACTTTCGTACTCGCAATCCAGATTTGATGCAGCAATGCACATCATCATCTTCTTTCCCATTTCTCTCATTCTACACTATCTTCTTTTTAGTGTATAGAAGCTGAAAGAGTTTTCAGGGCTTAATTGGTTTAATACATTTATATTTCATTACATAGTTTGTTCAGTAAACTTCTGATTGTTTATATATGTCACGCTGCCTACCTAATGGCAATCCATTAAACTTCTGATAGACCCTGTTTGGAAACATTGAGAAGCTCATTCACGACTAGAATTAAATTTTGGCCTGGATAAGCCGAGGGTGGAGACCCATTGATTTGATGTCATTTTCTCAATTATGATGAACTTAAATTTGTTTAGTATTAATGATACAATTTGATGGGATGGTAATTGATATCTCCTAGAACGTATAATTTCAGAGGAACCAAAAAGTTGTTCATTGTCTAATCTTGTAGGAAAATTATAATACTATTACGAAATACTACAAATGTCTTGAAACTTGTAACGTCATATTCTTATAATATATATAAAAGTAAAAACAATCATGGACTTTACAATTCGCTCGATTGCTATTTTTGTTTCTTTTTCTCGTCTTCGAATGAGTTAGATAAAAAATTTCAAAGTTCATTGTGTATATAATTAACATAAAAACAGTAAATTTATGAGTTAAACTGTCAAGATGACAGTGTTATATAGGTTATGAAAGAGAGTGAGAAGCATGTAATTTATTTGATAATGGAAAAAAATCAGAGGAGAAGATTGAGGGTCAGTGAGCCGCCGATTCGCAAATGGGCTGCCCCCGTGAAGAACGACGGCGCTACATCCAACAAAAGAAGGGAAATTTTGAGCTGCCCTCTAACGATATTCAATGCTACGGTCTTCTTTTTTATGTCCTGCCAATTATTGATTATTCCCTGTTCCTCTGCGTTCGATCCCATGTTCGATCTGTTAAGTTTCTTTGTCTTTCTCTCGGATTTACCCAATTTCCCTTTTAATTTTTTACTATTGGGTCAGGTTCTGATGGGAATTCGAACTGGTTTTCTTTGTTTTGAGATGGGTTTGACTTGTGCTGCTTGTTGCTCGTTTGTTCTTCACGGTGCAGATGTAGACTATCTTTCCCATAACTTTTGAGAATTATCCGAGTTTTGCTCGTTTAATTGTTACTGTTCTTGATTTTTCACTTCAATTTGTGTTGTTTTGAGGTCAATAAGAGGGCGAATCTTTATGAAGCTTTGGAAATGAAGTTCCGCAATTGTGTTCTTATGTAACCTCAAGATTAACCCATGTCGTGCTATTTGCTGATATAGTTTAGAGTCAGCTCCTTACTCTTATTGCCGTTCTTTTTCTGGTATATGTCTGATTGTATGTATATATGGCTTTGTTCTGTAAGCTGCTGGGCTTTGAAATTATTGCTTTTAACGACCCTATGCTTGGTTTGAACTGGAGTTAGGAGGATTTAGGCTATGTCTCTTCATTGATAAACATGTATGATTTGGCATTGAAAAGAGATATTTTGATTTTGCTGACCATATGTTTTATATACGTCAGATAGGAGACGATTCCCTCAAGGAAAAACTTACATTTTTGCATACAAGAGGATATAGTGTGGGATTTCTGCAAAATATCTGGAAAGATTGGTCATGGATGTTTCAGAATGTGACACAACCGAAGGCTTCGAGCATAAAATGAAAAAGAGAAAGCAAGAACAGTTTGATGATGCTCCTGTAGGAAACAATATGAGCAGTGTTCATTCTGGTTCTGAAGATGCATCTTCAATGAATAAAATCCTGTCTGAAAATGATTCTGCTTCTGCCATGTTCATTATATGCTCTAAGTTGGAATCTGAAACAGAAAAGATGTGTAATGTTCATGAAAAGAAGCAGGACAATGACCGAAAAATGTCCGAGGATATGGCAACAGAGCATGGAAATATAATTGGTTCTGGTAATCTTATATATAGTGTTGAAATGGAAGAGCCAAGTTCCATGGATACTTACAAAGTAGAGTCCGGAATCTCTGAAGATACAGGTGGTATGAGAAATCATGATGATCAGGAAAACGTTGTCAATGTTACCGAAGAACTGAGCAAGGAGACGATAGATGCGAGGAAGGATTGTCGTTCGAGAGAACAATTCTCCGACTCTGGTAATCATTTTCCATGTAATGAGCAGGAATATGAGAGGGATCATTCATTGAAAAGTTCCGATGTAGAACAGATAAATGGGGGAGGCGCTGTGGAGGAAGCTTCTGTTTTCGGTTCGGTTGGTGAGCATGATGATGAGACTTCAACAAGCAAGGAACTGATTATATCAACTCCTTGCTGCATACCTCCTGAACTGGATAATGCTGAAACTGTGAAGGAAGAAGTTGTATGTTTCTCAGGTTCTGGTGAGACGAGCAGTGGTGTTGACGCTATCATCGAAGAGAAACCTCCGACGCTAGTATTGGATACTTCAGAGAAAGGAGATTCTATTGGTTGTTCAAGGAAAAAGCTTCTTGTTCTCGATGTAAACGGACTGCTTGCAGATTTTATTTGTTATGTTCCATATGGATATAAGCCAGACCTTGTAATTGGACAAAAAGCAGGTGATAATCGTCATCGACAATCACGTTCTTTCGTTTTCCATTTTCCTTGAATTGACTTATATCTCTCTTCCAGTGTTCAAGAGGCCATTTTGTGACGATTTTATTAAGTTTTGTTTCGAAAGATTCGAGGTGGGCGTTTGGTCATCGAGAACTCGGTAATGTTCTATCGACAACGTGATATACCTTTACACTTAAACTTTTCCTGCATTGTTTGATTGTGAATTGTGAATCATCCACAATTCTGCAGGAGAAATGTGGACATGGCCATAGATTTTCTAATGAGAGACTTCAGACAAAAATTACTATTTTGCTGGGTAAGGCTACTTTCACATATGGTACAATATATTGTGACATACCCAAATAATATATATGTTTATGTTCCCTTGGGGAGAGGGTGATTTTTGTATACCTTTTAGTGGCTTTGTTGAAGTAAGAAATGCAAACAAGTACGGGAACCTCTCCCTCACAGACGTGTTGTAAAACTTTGAGGGGAAGTCCAGAAAGGACAATATCTGCTAGCGGTGGGCTTGGGTTGTTACAAATGGTATTAGAGCCAGACTCCGAGCGGTGTGCCAACGAGGACGTTGGGCCCCTAGAGGGGCGGATTGTGAGATCCCACATCGGTTGGAGAGGGGAATGAAGCATTCCTTATAAGAGTGTCCTCTCCCTAACAAACGCGTTTTAAAACCTTGAGAAGAAGCCTAGAAGGGAAAGCCCAAAGAGGACGATATCTGCTAGTGGTGGGCTTGAGCTGTTACAAATGGTATTAGAGCCAGTCATTGGATGGTGTGCTAGTGAGGACGTTGGGCTTCCAAGGAGGGTGGATTGTGAGATCCCACATTCGTTGGAGAGGGTAACGAAGCATTCCTCGTAAGGGTGTGGAAACCTCTTCCTAGCATACGCGTTTTAAAATTTTGAGGGGAAGCCATAAGGGAAAGCCCAAAAAGGACAATATCTGCTAACGGTGGGCTTGAGCTTGGGCTGTTACAATTCAATAGTCAGCAATTTTCAAGTCTATAACTCGTATTAATTCATTTATATTTGGCATGAGATAATGCATTAGAACTGTTTCCTGAACTAGTAATTTATGTATCACAAATATTGATTAAGAGGGTCATGCAGGTTTTGGGAAAAGTTTGATCATTCAGTTCTCTAAACCATACACAGTTTTCAAACGTCAAGTCATTTCATATGAGTGTGCCATCGTTCAAAAGTAATGTCTTCTGCTAAATCATGGTACCATGCCTTTTCTTTTTGGTCATCTGACACTGCTCGCTACAGGATCAGTCACATTGTACCGACACCACCTTCTCAACCGTTGAGAACAAGCACAAGCCTTTAGTCTTAAAGCAAATCAAGAAGCTGTGGAAATACCTTAAGCCACGAGAGTTCAATGCATCCAACACTCTACTGTTGGATGATTCCCCACACAAGGCATTGTGCAACCCGGTAGATCTCTCATCTCTTCTTTCTTTCTTATTTTAGTTCCTTGTTTCATTTTCTGAACGAGGTCGTTCCCCCTTCTTTTCACTCCAATCTAATGGCTATCTAACGGGCATTCTTCGTTTTTCGGGTGCTTGTTATTGTGTAGGCAAACACTGCAATTTTTCCTGTAACATATCGGTTTAGAGATACTGACGATACGTCGTTAGGTAACTAACTGCTTTTAAGCTATACAATATCATGATAGTGCCAAGTTTTTGTGCTTCATCCATACTCCTGCTGCACATCATTTCTTACCATTAATGGTTCACATTAGGACTGGGGGGCGATCTTCGGGTTTATCTGGAAGGTTTATCAATGGCAGAAAATGTACAAAAATACGTCGAGCAGAATCCTTTCGGTCAACGCCCCATTACAGAAAAGAACCCGTCTTGGAAGTTTTATAGGCGGATCATATATTTCGTTGAGCGCAGAAACGATCAGGAGGATGCCGACTCCTTCATATGGAACTGAAAAAGGTACACTTGAGAGGCATTTTCAATCTTGTTGGTATATCCCTTTGTATGGATGGAAAAGGTTTTCCCCTCCTGATGTTGAAGGGCTTTGGATGCATGAAACCATCTATTTCTAACCTTAGTTTCTCTTTGGTTAAAAAACATGAATGAATGGATGAAAAGTCTTATGCTGGTAATTGATGAACTTTGTCATTTGCTTTAACATTATCATTAACCGTTCATCGTCCATAAACATTTCAAATCTATCTTTGAAGTAGAAATCCTTTCGATTCTTTGAATACTCAATGATTCGATCCTTATTGATATTCGAATGAATGTTGAATTGATTGGTTGTTTCATTGATTATGATGTGGTGGGTATTAAAAAAAAATCTGTATACTCAATTATTTCAAAGAGCCTTTGCAGGCAAACAATGGTAGCAAAGTATATTCTAGTTTGATTCATCATGTGCAGCAAAAGATGTTGTTGGATTCATATGGCCTGGCAAACCAACTACAACATCCTCCTTGCCAACTCAAGCCTCTTCCCCATCCTCATTTTTTTTTTATTTGAACTAACTTAAATAATTTGTAAAATATTCCCCCGTTGTTTCTTTCTATGTTCGTCGATCACAAAAATATTGATTATTGGATTAATAATTTAACCAATTTGAACATTGTTCAACTGAAAAAATTAATGATTACATCATAACTTAATCACTTGATTTCACCTATCATTTTCCGTTTTTTTTAATATCGAATTATTAGGGTACTTTTAAGGTGGTACC